CAGGAATACCTTTTATTTTTTCTTCATCTAGTATTCTTTACTGCCAACAGGGTAAAGACAAAAATTGTGCAGCAAAAAATAAGTAACCTCAATTTTATTTATAATAAGTGTTTTTTTGTTTATATTTTCTTTATTTGTTTATTATACACAATATATTTTTGTTATTATATAATAAAAACTAAAATTATTGTATTTATCGAGTCTTTTTAGTCTTTTATCAATAATCGTTTTTATGTCATCGTTATTAGTTACGTTTTGTCAGTTTATTACTGTTTGTAACTGCAACTATGTATATATAATTGATTGTTGTATGGAAGATTTTATTGATTTAACTCTTTTAGTTTTTATAATTTTTGTTGACATATTTAATGAACAGCCTTCTATTAAATATTTATTTAACAATTCCGTTGTATATGTATTGTATTTATTATTATCATGTTTTTATTTTATTCGTTTTTATTGGGTGTTAATTATACTTACTGGTGATATTATTATTGTTATTCTTATTATTATACAATTAATTATATTTATTATTGTTGTTTTGTTAATTTGTTGCTATTTTTATTATCACAAAAACTATATGTGTCTATAATATGTTTTATATCATCAAAGAGGCTTTTACTTTAAATTAGTTTTTATAACTATTTGTAACTTTGTAACGACCGTGGAAGTTAGATCTTTTTCTCCAGAATATATAATTGATTGATTGGTTGATTGATTAGATTCTCTCTATTAATATAGTGAAATGGTTAAATTTCTCTATTAATATAGTTGAAAAGAGTGTAAAATGGTTTTCCAGTTAATGAAATCTGTGAATGCTTCTTACTTTTTTTTAGGGCGGTAAGCGTATCTTGGCTACCTTCACGTTGGTGCTCACTAATAAAAATGATTTCGAAAGGTTAAGTTCATATACTTTCCTTTTGATTCATAACTAAATGCCAAGACGAAAAAGACAATTCATCTAAACTAAAAATTTATATTAACCGAATGAAAATACAACTACAAATTAATATTAACCGAATGAAAATCTCTTTTTATAGACACTAAATATAAAAAATTCAAAATTAATCTGAGAAACTTTGACAAACATGAATATAAACTAACTGTAAGTTTTAATGAAAATGAAATAATAATTTTTTTGTTTATTTGGATAAATGAAACCTTGTACTTTATTTGTATTTGTTAAATTATATATATATATATATATATATATATATATATATATATATATATATATATATATATATATATATATATATATATATATATATATATATATATGTATATATATATATATGTATATATATATATATATATATATATATATATATATATATATATATATATATATATATATATATATATATATATATATATATATATATATATATATATATATGTATATATATATATATATGTATATATATATATATATGTATATATATATATATATATATATATATATATATATATATATATATATATATATATATATTATATATATATATATATATATATATATATATATATATTATTTTAAAACATCAAAAATACGATTTCTCTCAACACTTATAATTTTTTTATTATTATAGAAATTTTCGCTGGATTTTAGATACCAGCTTCTTCAACTTGTTAAATGTTACAGTAGTTAATAAAATCGTTATAATTTAAACTAGCTGGGCGGACCCGTAAAATACGGGTCTTTACCGAACCGACCATTTTTATACTTATCTGATCATTTCTATAGCTATCAGGACGTAAAATAAGGGTCTTAGTAAATCTATTCCACACCGACCTTTTCTATACTTATTCCTTACCTCAATATTTTTTTAAAACCGTTTTAAAAACTACATATAAAAAACTATACTTACTTTTTGATATGACAAAAAAATTTCATTATATAACGTTATAATTTTCTTTAAAAAACTTTAAACGCTTTTAATATTATGCCGATTATAAAGATTTTAATAAGAAAAAACGTAAAAAAGACTACGAACTTTGAAAAATGCTAAAACATTCAGCACGTGATGCCGTTAAAGTACGCCTTAGTTAACGTTCATAACATATACACATCTAATTAGATTTTTTTTAAATTCAGTTGTTCCAAACTTGGTTTTGAATTTTTAATTACACTTCTTATGCGTCATAAATTATCTCAAATTCTAAATAGAGAATACGTTTATGGGCTAATTGGTAGCCGCGCAACACTTAGACAGATATAGTCATCTCACCCCGGGAGTTCATATTCCAGTGACCTTTTTTTTCATCCCAACTTACAGCAAAAATAATTAAAAATAAATGTTATTATTGAAACAGTTTTAAACATTTCTTCCAATTTTTCTTTGAACTTAATTTTATTCACGGTAAATATACTTTTGGTGTTTGTAAGCGTTTTTTTACGTTTAGTATTGGTAGGAATTATTTGCACGCACGTATTTTAAACAATTATTTTTACTGTTTCATCTAAAAATCATATGTAATTTAGTTTTATAATTTTTTAAATATAATATATATAATTTAAAATATTTTATTAACCCTATTTAAATAAGTATCAAAACTCTTTTCTTTAATTTAAAAGAATGCCTGCCCAAACCTAAACGCTCAGTTGATGTATCTCCGCTTTGCTTTTATTTGTTAACCGTTAGAAAAACATTACAAAAAGAAACATAATAGAGTCCATTAGTTTATAGCATCCGAGTAGACTCTTCCAATATTAAACAGAGTATCTTACAATTTTATTGGTTTTCTAAATTCTGTCATAGTTGCGCACTCGGTTTAGAATATTTAACGGGGGCGTAAATAAGTAACTGTAAAATTCTAAATATTTTTATTATTTTAAATAAAATAGTTTTAACGTTTTATTATTTTGAAAAATAATAAGTTCAATAAAATAATTTATTTTAAAAATAAATATAAGATTTTTAAAGTTTTTTTAAATAAGAATGTTTTTTTTTAAAACCCCCTCACTGTTTTAAAAAATTCAAGGTTGCCGCGTGGCAAGTTCAAATCATCAGCTTGCTTTTTTTAATAAAATTATTGTTATTTAAAATGCAAAACAAAACAACTTTATAGTTCTAAATATTTACATGTTATATACCCAATTTCTTTGCGCTAATACGACTTAAAATAACATGACAAATAACAAATTTAAAATTATAATAAATAAAAGTTTACGTAAGGCTAACCACGGCATTTTGACGTAAATTTCAAAAATATATAATAAATAAAAGACTTTGTAAATTGATCAAAATTAAAGAGACGTTGCCGCAATGCTGTTTTTAAGTGAAAGTAAAACTGTAAAACTTGACATGTTTTTGTATGTTTTAACATTTCATATTTTGAAGTTTACGTAAGTTAGATATTTGCATACACTTTTGTTTACGTTTATTTATCAAAAAGTGCTGAGACTCTTCCTCGCCATTACTTTGGTTGCAATAGTTGCCATGGGTTTGTCAAACACGCTCGAAAGAGCGCTACTAACACTATTAAGTTCGGCAATAATATATAGAGAAGATAGCTTTTAGTAAATGGTATGAATATACATTTGATAAAGTATTTTTGATAATGTATGAATAGACGTATTACTAATGGTATTAGTAATACGTCTTTAGAAAAAGTAAACGCTTTTAAAAAATGATTAACGATTAACAATTTTTAAACCAGTTATAACAGGAAATCTACCTATAAAATGAAGAAAAATATTGTTATATAAAACACTGAATACACATATAAAAGTTGTTTAAAGTTATTTAAAAGTTGTCTAAATGTTGAAAAATTACATAATAAGATGTAAAAAAATATATAAAAGGTGACGAAACTTAGTCAATTATCAAACACTAAATAAGAAACTTACTTTGTGAGATCGCTTTTGTGGAAGTCTCTAGTATTTGATTGGAAGGCTGGAAACACTCTTTATTTAAAAAGCTATTTTATCAACAATGCTAAAGATAAAAAGTCACAGTGAGATAAAAAAATTAGGCATTTATTCAAAAAAATATTTCTTGGCTTTTAGTGAATGATTAGAAGGAGTAGTTTCAGTAATGAAGCTAGCTAATAATCATTTTTAACGATAGACACCAGCGTGAAGGTAAGCCAAGCTGTCTATCAACACAAAACATCACAACAGAAACATTACACAATGACAAACAAAAACACCAGTGGTGTAGACAGGACTTTTGTTGTTTTATAAGAAATTTAAAACCTGTTAATGAATAAGATTATTATTATATGCTTAAAAAAAATACTTTTTTAACTAATTGGCAGCTAAATTCAAGGGAGGAAAGCAAACCTTTTTAAAACATATTTGTTTTCAAACCCCAACCACATCCATATTTTACAAATTATTTGAATTTGACAAACATGAACACAATTAAGTTTAGTTGAAAGAGTCTGAAAGTAATGAAAGAGTTTGAAAGTAAATAGTCTGAAAGTAATGAAATAGTCTGAAAGTAATGAAAGTAATAAAAGAGTCTGAAAGTAATGAAAGAGTTTGAAAGTAATGAAAGAGTCTGAAAATAAAAGTAAAACCTGAAGCATCAAAAAATCCTGCCTACGCTACTGAATAATACACAACATATGACATTTGTAAGTACACATTACACAATGTATTCAGATATTATGTGTTTCCAAAATAATTAAAAAAGCTAGACAACACAACCTAGTTCAACACTTGTAACACCGCTTGGCACTAAACGCTGCCAAGTAACACCACAATTTAGTAACACCGCTTGGCACTAAACGCTGCCAAGTAACACCACAATTTAGTAACACCGCTTGGCATTAAGTGCCAAGTAACACCACTAATTAGTAACACCACTTGGCTGGCAAGGATCACAATCTTGCACTACACGTTGCCAAGTAACACCACTTTTCAAACATGGAAACAACATAATATAAACTTAAACACATATAAACAAACATATACAAACACAAACATCTATATATAAGTAAAAACATATATTCACATATATAAACATATATAGCAAAGAAAAAAAACATAAACAAACTTGTCAAAATTATAAATTAAGAACATTTGTAAACACAACATTATTTGTGTAATATTTGTTAAATGACATACCTTGTAATGCATGTTTATCAACTTTAAAAAACAAACTATTAAAAGATTTTGTTCTTGAACATGCAACATATAATTGGCCGTGTGAAAAGCAAGGCTTTTTGAGATAAACACCAACTTTATCAAATGTTTGACCTTGACTTTTATTTATGGTCATTGAGTATGCTAACCTAACTGGAAATTGACGACGTTTAAGTGTAAAAGGTAAATTTGAATCTGATGGAGCTAATTGAACTCGAGGAACAAATACCCTGTTACCAGCTGATACACCTGTTAGAACCTCACCATCAATGTAATTGTTGTGTAGTGCACGCACCATCAAACGTGTTCCATTACAAAGTCCACCTTTGAGATCTAAATTTCTAAGTAGCATTATAACAGCACCAATTTTCAACTTTAGGCAATGAACAGGCATACCTGATGGAGTCAAAGTATTTAAAAACTCAACTGGAAAATTATAAATTTCATTATGATCATCAGTTTCAATGCTATCTGAACTTAAATAAGTTTTAACATCACCCGGTAATCGATGAAGGACTTCTTCATTTATTGCCAATGAATCAACATTTGTTGGTGTTAAAATAGCACGTTTTGCATAATCAGCTTCTTCTGCACCACCAAAAATCTTTTCCACAATAGATTCATTATCATTGAGAAAACACTGCTCAGGTATTTCAATACACCCTTGCAAAGGATCTTCAGGCTTGACAGGTAATGTTCCACTTCCAAGCTTTAAAAGCTATTGAGAAAATTCCTCTTCTCCTATCTGAACCCTCATATTTTCAGTTAATGAAAACCTTTGCACATATTGCCAATGTTCAGAACACTTTATACATGATTCTACAACATCTGCTGGTCGACCTCTCTTCACAACTGGAAGTATTTGTCGAAAATCTCCACCCATAAGAATAACTTTACCACCAAAAGGAAACTTATTATTACAAATATCTTGTAATAACTTATCAATGGCACTCAAAGCATGTTTGGGTATCATAGATGCTTCATCGAGTAAATATAAACTAACTTGTCTCAGGAATCTACCATGAATGGAGTTTGGAGTTACATTACATGTGCTAGTTTCCAAAATTGGAACAGGAAGTTTGAATAAGCCGTGCAATGTGCATCCATTCTTAAGAAGAGTTGCAGCTATTCCTGTCCATGCAGCTGTTGCAGTTCTAATATGCCTGCTGCGTGTTTCAGCAATTAAATAATTGTAAGTAAATGTTTTACCACAACCGGCAGGCCCATCCATAAAGAAAAATCTTGAATGCTTATTTTCATTATTAGGTTCTTCACTAAGTGCAGCAAGGATTGCATCAGCTACATTACGCTGATTATCGTTTAATAATGGTCTAACTCGATTTGCTTCATCAATAAATACCTGAATATCTCCATCATCATTTTCTAGGACATTATCTAATAACTGATCTAATGTAGGCAAATTATAATCAGTTAAAGTTTTACCACTCTGATTAATTATAGATTCAATTTGACGAAGAGCAGTCTGTTCAGCAAGTACAACTGGCATTGAATGGTGTATGTAATCCTCAATCATATAATCTTTAAATGTATTCCAAAGGTGTAAAGGATCATCAGGTTCACATAAAGTCAATATAATGGAAAACAGTTGCCTAATTTGTTTAGGCATTCGAGTTGCTACAGCTTCAGTTAATGTATTTCTCCATTCAATGTCATCTTGCAATAGACCTAATCGATAACATGCTTCACGAAATGTATTAAAAACAGTGCCATGAATAGTACGCAAATCCTCAAAAGACATTGCACCTTTTACATGCAAAAGCAACAATCTAAGAAAAAATACTTCACTGGTTAGATTGACTTTATACATTCGCACAATCACCTTATCACTGCCTCTTTGTCTTACTTTCCACTTGCAATTTTTACCATCAAAAACAAAGTGATATGGAATTTCAACATAAGAATACTGACGTGCTTCATTTATCTCAGCATTTAATTTAAACCAAGCGGTTAGGTGAGCGTCACGCTGTGCAGCACGATCTATAGCTACTCGTTCTTCTCCTTCGTTAAAATATACCCTCTGATTATCAGGAAGGTGGACTTGAAGGCGGATAATAGTATGTGACATATCACTTATGGAATACTCAAATATTCGCCAAAGAGCCTCTGGTGCAGAAACAAAGCGACAATCTAAATATGTGTTAATTTCATCATGGTCAAGACTTTCATTAATTAACACATGAGCACAATCATGCCCCTTATAGACATATTTATATAAATACTTAACTGACTTAATAGACATGCAAGCTTCAACATTAATATGTGCTTGGTATTTTTTAGATAACCAAGGGTTGTAGGGTACAACCCATCGATTATCAACTTGGTTACCTTTTATAACGACTACTCTACCATTATCTAAACGCCTGTAGTGAGGATAGCCATTGAAAGTTGCAACAGTGTGAGGATTAAATTCTTTAGGAAACTTTTTTGTGCAAATCCCATCTTTCATGCAAGAAGAATTGGGATTCAAAATTCCACATGGTCCGTGAATCATACATGTTTTTAAAATTTCAAAAAGTTCAGGATCAACAGTTTGATCTGGAATTTCAGCTGATATTAGACTATCAATATCCTCTGCTGTTTCTAGCTTATCATCATTTACAAAGTGCAATAAAATATGTACATGTGGCAAACCACGTTTTTGAAACTCAATAACCTGTACATGACTTATAACTTTACCTAAAACTCCGTGTTTAAAAATATCATCTAGGAAGCATTTAAGTTTCATCTTAAATACACGACAAACTAAATCAGGTCTGTCAGATGGGCTCTCACCTGGATTTAAATTTTCTGTAATTTCTTTCCATTTTGGATTGCAGGTAAAAGTAATAAAAAGATCTGGTTTGCCATATCTCTTTATAATTGCCATTGCATCTTCAAAATTTTCTTTTAAAGCTCTTGGACTTCCAACATATGAGGATGGTAGTATAACAACACGACCTGGTCTTACATTAAGGTTATTTGCAGCGTTATTTACATGTTCATATAATGTATCATATTGTTCACTTCTAAGTCTGTTTTGGTTAATTCTAATAAAAGCAAGGCGCTGACCTTCAATCTTGACATATGCATCAACAGCATACTGTTGAAAAAGCTTCTTACCATAAAATATAGGATTAAAGGTTTCTCTAACAGAAAGCCTGTAATTGTAGTACTGAGACAAAGTAACCCGATTTCTAACACGTGTAGCTCGGTCAGGATGATGCTCTAGTTGCTCATGCCATCCAGCATCACCTCTTGGAAAAAATATTGGATATATCATTGGATCTAGATTTGCAGACATACTTGAAATTGTTTTTAAGGCCTGACCTCGAGGGTATATAACTACTTCCCTAGATGGAGGTGGAGCACCATCATCCCCAACAAAAACAATGGCAACTTCCTCATGTGAAGGAAGATTGTATCGACGTCTATCACCACCTTCAAGCAATGACATTTTAACAATCGAAGTTGGTCGACCTTCTAAAGCTGCTTGACGTACTTCTTCATCTTCAATTTCAGCCATGTTTTTAAATGCAAGAGCAAATGGGTTCTCTTGACTAATTATAGTCTGCAAAAATTCCATCAACTCACGTATGCAACAATCATTTTGCTCCATTCGAAAATTTAAAGCGGTATTAGGATCATAAACATATAACTGACAATATGCAGGCAGAACATTTTGATCAGGTCTCAGATTACCAACACGATGCACAATTTGTCCGCAAATCCTAAAACAGGGTAGCCCATGATCAGACGGAGGAGCTATTCTTGCTGTGAATGAAGCAAAAGATAAACAGGCATTATAACTTCGAATATGCTTGAAGAAATTTTGATTCATAGCACGATCAACATGGTTGCCTGTCATTAAATTGTGCATGAGCAGTGGATAAGGCGAAAGTGGAGCTAACGCAACTTTTCCAGAATGGCAGCACAGAAAATGTGTTTCATTTAAAAATTTTTTGGCACCACAATATTGACAAATATGGTTCATTTCTCCAAGGTAATTACTCACTATAAAAACATTATTTCTTGCTATGCAATGCATTCCACGTCTATGTAATACTCTCCTAGCCTGATTTCTTTCATTTTGGCGACGATTAATTTCTTCTCGCCTAGCCTGATTTCTTTCATTTTGGCGAAGATTAATTTCTTCTCGCTTTGCCTCATTTCTTTCATTTTGGCAAAGATTAATTTCTTCTCGCCTTGCCTCATTTCTTTCATTTTGGCGACGATTAAGTTCTTCTCGCCTAGCCTCATTTCTCTCATTCCGACGATTTCTTCTTATTTCAGCTCTCAAGTTATTTGACATAACTAAGAAACTATGTTTGATAAAAGTTGATTTGATTAATTTTTTGTTATACTAATCTAAAATGGAAAAACATAATATGTGCATTTCTAATTATCAATATAAACTCTATAAGACTATTTATATATTTTCTAATAAAAATTATTGACCTAAAGTCTTAACTTAACTGGTTTAAAACAGAGAAAAACCTAAAAGTTAAACATAAGTTGAACCACTAAGTATAACATTTAAAGTAATAAAACAAAATATTTTAGAAATAAATTAAAATAAAATTATAACAATTTTAACAATTTTTTAATGCTAATAATAACTAAATTAAATAGTAAAATTATTTACAAATAAAAAAACGACATGCCAAATTGCAAATTGCAAATAAAACTTGTCTAACATGTAACATCATATAGTTCACATGTGGCTATCTTTAATGATTACTTTTTTATAATAAAAATCTAAAGAGAATAATATAAACATTAATATGTGTATAATGCAACAATTAGGCATATAAAACAAACAAATAGAATAAGAAAAAATTGTAACTAAATTACAAAATATTTACTATCAAGAAATCAAAAACTATATGAAATAAATAAAAATTAATAGACAAATTATTTAACATTTAACCACATAAGAGTTGTTTTGAAAGTTTAGACTCTCAAATCAGAAATAAAAATCAATAAATATAAAATTAAAAAATTAAAATATCAAAAATAAATAAAAATACTTGCAAAAATCGAAACTAAAAAACAACTTTTTTGAAACGTAAAGATATATTTACAACAAATAAATAAATTAACACAAAAAAAAAAAAAAAACTACTGATAAAAATTCATAATGTTTGACCTTTGGTCATTCTGCCTCCCAGCACCACTCCTCCTACCGGTGGCCCCATATGGGGTCTGTCTCCTCCATCTAAAGGAGGGATCATCTCCCCCATATTGGCACCACCGGAAGAAGGCCCTCTGTGATAATGGGCCTGGGTGCCCATTATCACAGAGGGCCTTCTTCCGGTGGTGCTACATGTAAGCTACATTTATATATATATATATAAATGTAGCTTACATGAGGATAATTCTTTTTCACTTATCTCTTGAACATCTAATATATATTTACAAAATTTATATACTTTATATATTATATACCATTCACTTATTCAATTCAACAAACTTTTTTATTTATTTATTTTTTAATTTTGTTAAAAATGTCCGAACTTAATTGTTTGACATTTTCACGACGCAACCGAAACTCAGAATTTAAAGAAAATTTTCGTTTTACTCCGAAACTTAGCATTTAAGATTCTAGCATGTTAAATAAAGCTTACACACGTTTTCAAGGTTCACTGTTTTACAAAAACATCAATCTAAAATAGGGGAAATAAACAATAACCAAATTTCGGGTGCATCCTTGTAAAGTCCAAAAATTATTTTAAATATTTTTTATTTAATTAAATTTTAGAACATATGCAACTGCAACCATGGCCCCCACATCTTGAAACCGGACCCCATGCTAGAGCTCTCTGCGGCCCCCCCCCCCAACCCACACACACACACACACACATACCCTTATTGCATTGCATACAATAAAATTTTTTTATTTTTCTTTGGCCACAATAAACTTATAAAGTTTTTTATTTAAGAAACCGCTTTTGCTTTCACAATCTAAATCATTTTTGTATTTATTTAAAGTTTTTTGCTTTTAAAAAAGATTAGGTTTTTAGATGTTTAAATGTTATTGAAAAGTTAAAAATCAAATTGTCAATTTTTCAATTTGATTTTTCAACTTAATGAGACTGAAAATTTTAAAGATTTAAAGCCGAACCCCATTTATCTCCGGATCCTAGTGCTAGAGTACCAACTGCACCTCCCTTTGTGGGGAGCCATGACTGCAACTATACGTAGTATATAGTATAATTATATTGTGGCTTACTTCTAAAAAATTCTGAAACTTCTTCGTCGCCTAAAGACATACAAATTTATCTATATATAATCTCTTGATAAAATAATAAACTAAATATTTCAACATTATTTTCGTATCATCTCTTTCTATCTCTTTAATTTATTAATTTTATATAAAATAAAAAGAATACTCTAACCTTCTGTATTTTGGCTGCTCATTTCTAAAATATAATCTTAATGTTTATTCTTGTGTCAAAAGCATAATAACTTTATTAGTTCCGAATTAAGATTAATTTTTTAAATGGATGATTAAAATAAGTAAACTTGTAAACGATGAAACTTACTTGTAGTTCTTTGCTGTATTTTAGTTTGCAGTTCCTTGTTGTATAATCGATTTGAATGAGAGAAAGCATGGCCAAGTTTTAGTGGTTTTAGAGTACAGTTGGCGCACATATCATAATGCAAAAATCAGATGATTTTTAAATCTATTAATTGAGCTGTTTTTATTATCGGATTTGGTGGATTTAATTAGATAACCGCAAGGTAGTTTTACAGTCGTTTAAGAGTTGGCGCATATATCGAAATACAAAAATCATTTAATATTTCTATTTTATATTTGAGCATTCCTATTACCGGATTTGGCGGAACTAAAGTTATGACGTAATTTTAGCATTTTTGGGTTTTCTGTTTGTGTTAAGTTTTTTTTTATTAAGTTTCAGACTATAATTTTTTTTTCATACCATCCGATACTTGTTAGGACTCTTGCCCAGTTAATTTTCAAGAAAATTTCAGTTTGCATGTAAAACTTTTTTTCTATTAGAGAAAAAGTTGTCTCTTAAATGCGCAGACTAAACTAATTTATCCAAAACTAAAGTATCTCTACCATGACATATGCGCAACAAATTTCAAACAGTGTTCTCAGGTTTTTAGAAATTTTACACAGCGTTTTAAAAAGTTCTCTCCCTTTAGTTTGTTATAATATATAATATCTTTATATATATGTAATGTAATGCATATAATATCTATAGGCCTTTAAAAATGTTTTACTTTGTTTTCTAGAAATTTGGAAAATATTTAAAAAAATTATGAGTGTAAGCGAAAGGATTTTAACCCAAGCGAAGCATTTCAACCACTTTGGCATGCTGTATTATCTTTTAACACTGTTTCATAAACAGAAGACTTATTAAACTTTATAAAACGGCATATAAAATAAGGAGATGAAATTATAAAATAAGGAGATGAAATGCTATAAAATAAGGAGATGAAATTTTCAAGTTAAAGTAAATCTGTAAAAATTTTTATTATCTACTTTATAAAAATACTGATTACTAATTACAGAACATGAAGTTTACATGTTAAATATATACATTACCGTCATAATTACTCGAATGGTCATATTTTTTTAGTATAAGATATCAAACTTTAATTAACTATTGGGAGAAAAACTGAAAACAATAATTACCTGAATTATGTTATCTTCCTATTTATTAGGTCTACAAATAAAATCAATATAAAGTTAGTTTATAATTTACTTGCCTATTAATCACCCTTATCAACAATAACCGTCATATATATTCTTGGCATTCTACTTAACGACCAAGTCAATTCTATGTCACAAACTAATAAGTTTTTTTCAAAAAAGAAATAATAACACCACTGTAAATCAATTTATTTATACATGATAACGAAACAAAATATATAAAAGTTTTATTTACAAAAAAAAATTCAACTACATCTGCATTATTAACTAACTACAAAAATACTAATTAAAGATATAGCGCAATATTTTCCCACCGCTATCTTCTCATATTTTATTTTTTACAGGATCCATACTAAGGATCCTTCTCATATTTTATTTTTTACAGGATCCTTATTAAGAAAGAAAAAGAAAAAAAATGGCGGAGGAGAGCGAGCTTTTGCTCTAAATTCGGGCCCATAACTTATGTGCCTCGCGAACTGCAATATGCTGAAAAAGCATCGTAAGATACATCTACGATGAAAAATTATCATATGATAGAATTAAAAACATCTTTATATAATAATCTTTATATAATAATACTACAAACCAATTTGCCTGCTGCTATTTTTATATAGCATTTTTAAAAATGGGCAAAATTTGAAATGAAAAGGAATTAATAACAAAATTAATGAAAAAGTCAATTAAACAAAATAACGAAACATAAAAGCTATAAGTGCAAACAAATTTTGTAATTTGACTGAAACACAAAATTATTTTTACCTTGATGGCAACAGACTAAATTCTTTATAAACTATTAGCTAATGATCAACAAAGTAAATTTTAAATAATTAAAATTTACTTAGTTAAAACCATATTTAACAGTAGACCAAGTAAACTTATGATAGTTGCTAAAGTACCAAAGTAGAACTAAAGAAATAAAATAACAAAATTTAAAAAGTTTGTAATACAAAATAATTTATAATACATAAAAAAGATTAACTGCAGTTTAAAGTATTCACAAAATCTTAACTGACAATAAAATACCATCTTGCCGTGGATAATCATAAACACAGTCACAGCAGCAAATCATTTCAATATTTTGCATGTTCTACTGACTAAAATTTTGATAGTGTTTAATGCAGAAACAGAATCTTTCACCAAAAATTTACTTAATATTAAAAAAATAGAAACAAAATTTGGAATTGAAAAAAACGCAAATGTAAAATTTTTAATAAGTAAATTTTAAAAGATTCTTTTAAAATAAATTAACTTAATAAAATCTTACCTGAATATCAAACACCTCCAGACAATAACACTCTACTAAATTATTAGATTCATAAAAAATACGATTGAATATCTAACACTATTTAAAACCAATAATAATAAAAAACAACTTACTTATATTTAAAATAAGGTCAACATTAGCTTCTATAAAATTAACAGCCTGTCAAGATTCATCCCCTACTAAACAGACTGTTTCATTAAGTAAAGCATTAAAATCTTTAGCAACTTCAAAAACAAATTAACAAATACATACTACATATAAATAAAAGCATACTTAACAATTATATCATTTATATGATAATAGAATCTAAGATATCTCAAGAAATACAAAACTTACCGCTTGCAAATCTAAAATGCCTTGTGCATAACCAGTTAATAGCGGTCTGACTCTTTCAAAACTATAAACACAGTATAATACTATTTCGATAGTTATCTGAATTGTCATTGTTGAGCACTTGGTTTAAAATGTTTAACGGGGGCAGATATGAAACTTTAAACTTTTTTATTATCTTAAGATTAGGTTATTTTAACTTTATATCATTTTTAAAAATAACCAAGTTGGAAAAAATGATTTATTTTAAATATAAAATAAATTTTTTACTCATATTCTTAATAGAAACAACTTATTTTATCCCCCTGACTGTGTTCAAAAAAAGTTTGTCGTGGAAAGCTTTAATTATTAAAAAGCAAAACAAAACAATTTCATAGTTCTCTTTTTATTGTGTTCTATTTTTGAATTTTTAAAAAAACCAATAAAAAATTTAAAAAAAAAAGAGAAGGTTCTAACGATTGGACTCAAACCTCGATAGATATTTCAGAATGTCGTCCGCTCGGTCACACTGGCAAATATTCCTTTACTAAATACTTAGATACATATAAAACACGATTGAATATTTTACATAAAATTACATAAAACTAATTATAAAAAAAAAACTTACTTATATTCAAAATAAGGTCGTCTTTAGCTTGTATAAAATTAACAGCCAGTCAAGAATCAATACAACACCTATAAAACAGAATGTTTCATTAAGTAAAACATTAGAAATTTAAAGTTCCGTAATTTTAAAAACAGATGCAAAAATACATGCTATTTTTTTAAGTATATTCAATAATTATATCATTTATGACAACAATAATAGAAGATACAATGTCATTTCAAGAAATACAAAAATCTTACCGAGTAAACATTTGCAATGCCTCGTGCAGTTTGTTCAGATCAGTTTAAAGTGTTCAAGTTGACTCTTCCAATCACATACGGAGAATCATACTATTTTGATGGTTTTCTAAATTCTGTCATTGTTGCGCACTCGGTATAGAATATTTAACAGGGGCGTTGTAAATTAGCTGTAAAACTCTAAATATTTTTATTACCTAAATATCGATAGTTTTAACTTTTTTTTCATTTTAAAAAATAATAAATTTCATAAGATAATTTATCTTAAATTTAAAAATTTTAAATATTTTTTAATAAAAATACATTTTTAAAACCCCCTTACTGTTTTAAATATTCAGGTCGCCGCGTGGCAAGTTCAAATCATCAGCTTGCTTTTTTTGTTAAATGCACTTTATAGATTTTATATTCTATATATACACATGTTATATACTCATTTTCCTTGCGCGAACTCAACTTAGTTGGAGAAATGTAAATGTAAAACTAAAATAACATGACAATTAAGCGCAACAAATTTCTCCTGTTTTTTGATGTTTTTAGAACTTTTAAGCTTTCTTTAAAAATTCTCTTCCTTTCGTTTGTTTAAGTGTAAAATATTTTTACATTTGTTAAGTATATAATCTCTATACATAATCTTTATTTCGTACTTTAGAAAAATCGAAAATGAATTTAAAAAGAAAACATGCCATAGGTAGGATTCGAACCATGGCTCTTCAGGTCAGCTGCCAGCGAGCTGACCACTAAGCTATGCCACTATGAACGATTGAACAAATTTTAAAAATATATAGTAAATAAAAGTCTTTATAAAACGACCATCGATCAAAATTAAGATGTTGCCGCAATGCAGTTTTCAAGTGAAAGTAAAACTTAAAAACTTGATACATGTTTTAGTATGTTATGACATTTCACATTTTGAAGTTTACGTAAGTTAGTTATTAGCACACACTTTCGTTAATGTTTTCTTATAAAAAGGTGCTGCGACTCTTCCTCGCCAGTACCTCGGTTGCAATGGCTGCGTTGGGTTTTGTGTCAAACGTGCTCGAAAGGGAACTACTACTATTGAGTTCCGTATTATTATATAAAGATGATATGTTTCAGTTTTAATACACAGAACACCCAAAAAATACATAAGTATGCAAAACACATTACTTGACACTGATCCTGTGAAAGCAAAAAAAAAAAAAAAAAAATTAAAAAAATAAATAAATTTTTTAACTGACATAATAAAACAGAAATGTATTATAATGGCACTTTGCTTAACATTTGATTTTTCTAATGTTTCTAAATAGAATAAAGAAATTTATTAACAATAACATAGAAACTAATTTGCAATGTATAGAAAAACTAAAAAACCTGAAAACTATAAAGTATTTAATGTTTGTAAACAAACAGCAACAGAATAGAAAAAAAAATTATTCTAACCTTGATTGCGACGTACTAATTTTTTTTTTACACTATTAGGTAATGATCAACATAGTAAAGTTTAAATGACAAAAGTTTACTTTAAGTTAAAACCATATTTTATTGTAGATAAAGTAAATTTATGATTGTTGGTAGAGCACTAAAGTAAAACTAAAGAAAAAAATAAAATTCAACTAAATTAAAATGCAGTTAAACATGAAAAATAACTCTACCATCATGAGAAAAGGTAAAATTATAAAAACAAACAAACAAACAACAACAATAAAAGAATATTTCTTTTTATTAAAAATAAGAACCTCTTATTTAAAAAAATAACAGATAAGGACACATCAATGAACAAATAGACTTATCGATTAAAAACATACAGAGTGAAAAAGCAATTTTGAAGTTCTTTCACAAATTTATTGTAAGTACTTATTAGATACCCCCTAATTCAATGATTATTGTTGATTATTATAATAATTATTAACTGCAATTTAAAGTATTCACAAAATCTAAACTGAAAATAAAGTATTATTCTGACACGGAGAATCATAAACACGGCCACAGCAGCAAATTATTTTAATATTTTGCATGTTCTGCTGACTAAAATATTGATGGTTTTGAAAATATCACTAAAAAGTGATTAGTTTTGTATTTTAAAAAAAAATCAAAAAAAATTAAAAAAAAGAGTTCCAGGCACGGGAGTTGAACCCTGGCTCCCCTGATTAGTAGCTCAGCAAGCTGACCACGAAGCTACACCGTCTTACCAATTAGAGACATTTTTAAGAATATATACTTAACGAAAAACTTTATAAAACAGCTATCGGTCAAAATTTAAGGAGATGTTGCCGCAATGCAGTTTTCAAGTGAAAGTAAAACTTAAAAACTT